TCTTCTCCATTGGGGGCCCCCTGCGTATCTTTGCCTAGGGCCCCACATTTCCTAGATCCGCCCCTGACTGTGGCCCCTAGGTCGCATTTTGCCCCCCCACCCTGGTCAACCCGGTGAAATAATGCAGCTTTTATTTTGAAAAGCGTCAGTGAAGTTTATTCTGTGCAGCTGGAGGTCGTTGTTATCAGGATCTGCTTTCTGCAGCAGATGAGCGGCTCTGGCTGCTGCTCTGCTATTGGCTCCTCAGCATCGGAAGGCTGAGTCAGCTGGGCGGAGGACGGCAGCATGCGGCTCAGGAACCCAGCCGGAGCAGAACCGGAGTGAAACCGGAGCAGAACCCCGATGAGGAGATTGGCCGATCACCTGTCGGCGCCTCACAGGAAGCGCTGAGCGTCATGGTGGCCGGGGAGCTCGTGCAGGAGCATGTGCGCGCGGACACCGGCGCACCTGACGACATCATAGCGGAAAGGAAGAGCCCCCAGCCGCAGGGCGCGCGGCCGGCAGCCGATCCCTGCCCGGATCCGGACCCGGAACCCGGGGCGCAGGAGGGGCCGCCGGATGAAAGAGCCGCGATGCTTCCGAGCGCCGGAGGAGGAAGAGGAGAGGAGGAGGAGGATGAAGGCAGGGCGCTGCAGACCAGGCTGTACCGGCGGCGCTTCGCGGTGCTGATGGTGTTCAGCCTTTACTCCCTGATGAACGCCTTCCAGTGGATCCATTACAGCATCATCGCCAACGTCTTCACGCGCTACTACAACGTCACCAACGACAGGGTGGACTGGCTGTCCATCGTCTACATGGTGGCCTACATCCCGCTCATCTTCCCGGCCACCTGGCTGCTGGAGCGCAGAGGTCTGCGGCTCACCGCGCTGCTGGGCTCCGGCCTCAACTGCGCAGGCGCCTGGCTGAAGTGCGCGAGCGTCAGTCCGACGCGCTTCTGGGTCACCGTCACCGCGCAGGTCATCTGCTCCGTGGCGCAGGTCTTCATCCTCGGCCTGCCGTCCCGCATCGCCTCGGTGTGGTTCGGACCGCGGGAGGTGTCCACCGCGTGCGCCACGGCGGTGCTGGGGAACCAGGTCAGCCCAGAATCGAACCCAGAACCTTCCGGCTGCAAGGCAGCAGACCTGCCTACTGCTCATCATCTGACTTGTTTTATATGACAGAGCAAAATAAGATAATTACATATAAACTACTTAAAATAGAGAAATTTAAATTGAAATCATCTTATCAGTAAATTGTCTCACCTACAATCTCAAAATGAGACAAAAAATAAACTTATTTTAAAGAAAATAGACTTAGGTTTCAGTTTTTTGTAGTGTAGAGGGGCCAGGATCAGTTCTCCTGGGGCGCTGGCCCCTGTTGGCCCCTGCCTACAACCGCCTATGGAAATACAATCTAAGAGCCCCCCCACCGTGGGGGGGCTCTTAGATTGTATTTCCTGCAGTAAAAACTTATTTTAGGATGAAAATTATTTAGATTATTTTACAATGAAGTAGTTTAGATGTTAAAAATGACTGATCTGTGTGATGAAACTCTGAGCTTCTGCTCAGAGTTTCATCACACTCCCATGCTCCCCATGGTGAATATGAGCTATAAACAGGGGGGGAGTGGCAGCCTAGTGGCCATTGCCTGTCTTTGCCTAGGGCCCCACATTTCCTAAATCCGCCCCTGGCTACACTTACTAAAAGTCTTTGGTTTTATTTAAACTACTGAGAGTTTCTTAGTCTTGTACTCATCATGCTGCCATCCATTATTTATTATAGTAAAAATAAAAATCAGCTGTAACTCCTTAGAACCTGGAAGAAGATGAAACTGGGGAACATTCCGATTCTGAATTGGGAAAACAGGGAAAGGTTGAGGAATGAATTTCCGGCTTTAAAAGATGCCGTTCTCTAATGTTCTCCCCTCCGTCTCTCCTCCATGCAGCTGGGCACGGCCATCGGCTTCCTCCTGCCGCCGGTTCTGGTTCCCACCACTCCTGATGATCCGGAACTAACAGGTGAACAGAAACCATAAACTGGTTCCCATTAGAATCCAGTCTGCAGGGAAACATGCAGACAGTTTAAATGGATGAAGTGAAGCTCGTGTCTTTTTAACGTGTTAGTAATATAGTAATGAAGCAGGTGTTGGCGTGTTGACATGCAGTCAGCTGCAGGGTCATGTGGTTCCTTATATAAAGTTGCTCCTCTGCGTCTCCAGCAGCAGCTGCAGATTTCTGGATGTTTTTATTTTTTCTGTCCCGCAGGTCACCACATCAGCATCATGTTCTATGGAACAGCTGCCGTCTCCACGGGCCTCTTCATCCTCGCCCTTCTAGGTAAACACGCACCCAGGCTAGCAGCGCTAACGCTGGGCGCCTGGAACTCCTGACCCCTGGCTGACCTTTGCACTCAGGGAAAGTGGTGTTTACTGCTGCTGAGGATCCTGGGTGTTCAGGGTGACACAGATATTCCAGAGATCCTCCATGTTTGGTTCTGAAACAGGAAGAAGGGAGGGCGCTGGTGGCGCCGGGCTGCTTTGAATAGGATGGAGGCGCTATGCAAAGACAGACTGAGGGCCTCTGTGGTCCCTGGAAACCAGGAGCCTTCCTTTGGTCTCCAGGCGCCACTCTGTATCAGGGGAAAAGCTACCAACAGGGAAAACGCCGCAGCACAGCTGCTCCACTTTCACTGAGTTAGTGCTGCTTCCTGATCCAGCATGGAGAACATTCCTGATGCACAGAACCTTCTAAACGTTTCCACGCCGCTGACACGCAGGGTTTAACTCGTTTCAAGCAAAAACGGTTCAAATGTTTTCTTACTGATCAGACAGAATCAGACTGCATCTATAACTCTAAATATCAGTGTATCGAGGTTCTATCGTGTTTTCAACAACAGGAAAGAATTTAATAAATAGATGTTTCTGTAATAAAGTATAAGAAGAAAAGAACAATCAATCCACTTGACTTGGTTTCCAAGGTTTGAAGACGTTTCGCTTCCATCCAGGAAGCTTTCTCAGTTCAAATGTCTGGATCTGCAGTGAGTTTGAGTCTCTATAGAGAC